TGGAACAGCTGCAGCCATTTTGCCACCATGGGAAAACCTGGAATTTCTGGGCTGACTGCATGGAGCCCAGAGAGAAAGCCAGTAAGAAGGCAGAAAGGAGAGGGAGAGAATCTGAGTCTTTGGAGACATCTTTTGGAGCTGCTGGATCAAGTCTCACTTGAAGCCAGAACTAAATCTGGATTTTTAATGGACATACCCAATAAAAATTCTTTTATATTATGAATCAGCTTGAGGTGAATTTTTCTGTCACTCGTGACTAAAAGAGTCCTCCCTGATTCTATACCTAACTCGCAGGCTTGTTGTGAGGTTTAAATAAAATAGCACTTAGTGAAACATGGCACACAAATAATGCTCAATGAACGGTAACCAATATTATTACTGTGATATACTTATTTTCACAGTTATGTGTGTTTCTTATTCTATGCCCTAAAATTGACATATTTATTTATCTTTTTGGTATTATTCAGTTCCTACCTAGAGGAGAAAGGCTGCGAGAGGGGGCCGACCAGCCCAGGCTCCTGACCAACAGCCTGAGCCTCGGTGAACCACACGGAGCCCATTCAGTGCGGTTCTAATTCTTCCGACATCTCACTCCCATTCTTTGATGATATTTGTCTCCATCCAGCTTATACATAAATGTTTTCAGTAAAGTGCTCCAAATGCTTTGTTCAGAAATCCGAATCCACATGAAAACAATGGCAACAAGAAAAAGGTGTAAACTCTCCAGAACAGGCCCAGATTTTGAAAATGTGATAAAAACGTTATTGTGTGTTCCAACTTTTCACACAAGAATTGGAGGAGATTTAACACCAGGAATAATAAACAGAGGAAGACCAGCTAATGCAGAGCAGATGGGCCTGCAGGGCAGTGCTAAGCATTTCAACTGCATTCCCCTTGGACCTTGGATGACTTAATGCTGGTTTCTTTAGTTAAAAATAAAGTTAATGCAATGGGGGAAATCATAAATATGGCTGTTTTTATTTCTGGGGTGGCGAATGGACTAAAGATTTTAAGAACCTACTATGTGGCAGGCATTTGACATTCGCTGCTTTTTCCTGACCACGGCCCCATTTTATAGCGGAGAAAACCAAGGCTCTGAAACTGTAAATCGCTTACTGAAAGGGCACACAGCCAATATAACAGCGGATCAGTCCTAGGTCTGTCTTGCCCATGCCATGGTTCTGCAAACTGAGGTAACATGAGCAGGGAAAAAGAGTCATAGTCAAATAGATGTGGGGAGCACTGATACACACACATACATATGTATATGTATGGATATATATGGATATGTGTATATGTATATATGTGTATATATATATACACACATATATATCTATATATACTGATAGATATGTATATATATGTACATACATATTTACATAGTAATAGCCTTATTGAGGTATCATTGGTATGCAATAAACTGTATATATTTAAGCCATGCAACTTGATAAGTTTTGACATATGTCTATACCTGTGAAACCATCATTACAATTCAGATAGTGAACTTTGCATTACTCCCAAAAGTTTCCTCGTCTATATATACTGAGAGATATGTATATATATGTACATACATATTTACATAGTAATAGTCTTATTGAGGTATCATTGGTATGCAATAAACTGTATATATTTAAGCCATGCAACTTGATAAGTTTTGACATATGTCTATACCTGTGAAACCATCATTACAATTCAGATAGTGAACTTTGCATTACTCCCAAAAGTTTCCTCATGCCCCTTTGTGATTCCTCCTTTTCGTTCCTCTCATCCTCAATCTCAGACAACCGTTGACACTATGTCTGACTCAGTCTAGGCTCAGTCTAGAAGTGAGATGAAATGTGTTTTTGATCCATAATAATGTTGGAAAACTGGAAGGGGTTTCCTTATGCTTTCTGTCACTATAGATGAGTTGCATTTTCAAGAGTTTTATATAAATGGAATCATATAACATGTATTCTTTTTTGCCTGTCTTCTTTCACTGAGCATAGCAATTTTGAGATTCGTTCATGTTATTATAAATTTGTTCCTTTATATGACTGTGTAGTATTCTCTTGTATCAATATGCCACAATTTGTTTATCTATTCATGTAAAGATGGACATTTAGGTTGTTTTCAGTTTGGGGCAATTACAAATAAAGTTGCTATGAACATTTGTGGTCAAGTTTTTATATGACATAAGCTTTCTATTTTCTTAGGTAAGTACCAAAGAGTGGAATGGCTAGATCAGATGGTAGATATGTGTTTAAGTTTTAAAGAAAATGTTAAACTGTTTTTCAAAGATAGTTGCACCATTTTACACCCCACCAGCAGTATCTGAGTTTCAGTTCCTCCCCACCCGCACTTGGTATGGTCAGACTTTTTAATTGTTTCCGTCTTAACATATATGTAGTGGCATCAAATTTTCTTATGGTTTTAATTTGTATTTCCCTCATGACTAATAATAGAGTTTGTTTTTGTGTGCTTGTTTACCATGTAGATATCTTCTTTAGTTGAGTGTTCAAATTTTTTGCATATTTTTTAATGGAGTCGTGTCCTGATATTGAGTTTTGTGAGTTCTTTGTGTATGTTGGGCATAAGTCTCTTAATCTCTGCTTTGTAAAGATTTCCCCTAAGTTTAAGCTTGTATTTTCATTCTCCTAACAATGTCTTTTGAAGAACAGAAGATTTGAATTTGGTGACATCCAATTTATGTTCCACATCTCTTAACTTCTATTTTATATTTTAAAAATCTTACCTACATTCTGGAAGATTCCTCTGGCTTGATTTTAACAACTCACAAATTTGCTCTTTTGGCAATCTGTTCTATTCAGCTGATAATGCTGAACTTTTTTCAATGATCAAATTTTTAAAATAAAAATCATTCATAATGTTTGACACATGGTAATTTTGTATCTCCATGAGAAGATGAATTGTTTGGTTCAGCTTGGTCTATGAGTTCTACTTCCTCCAATGTAAGTTCTATACTTGGTAAAAGGGTGAAGTCTTTCTTGCACAGAGCTGGATTTCCAGTCGCTTGGTGATTCTGAGCTGAGAAATCATCCACTCGAGGATCCCTGTTGGCCGGTCTTTGTATTTGGTAGCCCACCTCCAGGATGAGGAGTGAGAATTAGGCATATTGTCATCAGGGGTGGCTTTCTTGGGGCAGGACCTCCTTCCTCATTCCTCCTTAGTATTGCCACCCCCCTGGGACACTGTCTTGGCTCTGTCTAAAGACTCATACTCCTTGCTCCTACAGGGAAGTAGACACCTCTATTGCTGTTGCCTAGTACAAAGGGCACTAGGTACAGGGAATAGGAGGGAATATTGATCTGACGGCTCCTACTCTGGCATTCCAGCTCATTTCCTATCAGGTGCTCAGAGCCACTCCTCTCCTCAGATTTCCTATCGGGTGCTCAGAGCCACTCCTCTCCCACTCTCTGGGACCTCTAGGCTTTGAGTATTAGTAATGCTACCTTGTATCCTTCGCTTTTATGCAAGAGTCCTAGTCCCACGTGTGCCTAATTATAGGGCTCCTTTTAAAATCTCATTAGACTGCCTTCTATATTTCAATGACTTTTCAAGATTTCTTATCCATAGGAGACTCTTTCTGGTTTTCCAACATTGTGGATCAAAAACACATTTTATCTCATTTCTAGAGACTTGTGGATGGAGAGGCTATAACTGATGTTCAGTCCTCTCACCTGAACTGAACCTGTAGGCAATATTTGCATCTGTAGAAGAATCTCTTGGTATTTGAAGGCGCACCGGGTACATACCACATATACCAAATGTTGTCATGACAGTGTGGTTTGCAACTTTGATGTTGGCACTTTAGGAGAGTTTACTGGGGCCTATTTGCAGAGGGAGAAGCATAACCATTGTTAGAAATGAAAATCTAGACATTTCTCTCCCCTGTGAGAGTATATGTTAGAGAGGCCATGTGTCTATGCTACAATCAAGCGTCCCAGCCAAGCCCAACCTGTATCATTCCCACCAAGGTACCAGACACGAGTGAAGCCATCTTGGTCCTCCAAACAAGGCCGGCCACCAGCTGAGTACACTGAGTAAACTCTGTTGATGACACATGAAACAGAACCAAAGAATTGCCCAGTCAAGCACCCAAATTGCTGACCTACACAAGTGTAAAATATAATAAAGTGGCTATTTTTTCCCCAGTGATACATAATTTTTATTATTGATCTTTTAACATAAAAATATTAAGAACTATATGAAAGGCTCATAAAGTGACTCTTTTAAACCATGAAGTTCTAGGACAGATTGTTGTGTAGCAATAGATAACAAAAGCACTTGGCACATGATAAGTGCTCAATAAATACAGGTCAGAGTAGTTTTGATGTCAAATTACTTTTCCATGGCAAATATGTAAGAGTAGCCGGGAGTGGAAGATTATTGCCCTGATCCCACCTTCCTTGACCTTTTCCTTCCCCTGAGTCTCCCAGCAGTGTTGGGACAAATTTCCTAGTCTGGTGCACAGGGGGCCTTGATCCGAAAACCTCACTGTGAGTCACGTTAATTGTCCTCCTGCATAAAAGACACCACAGCAAACAGCCCCAAACCACTTCTAATTCCACCTCTGGTGCCATCTCCTGGAGTAATATTGAGCCTGCATTCTGAGCCCCAATTTCCCCTTTTTTAAATACAAATGGACACTTTCCAAGGGTACATCTGTTTCCGACAAGGCTACATAGCATGTGTCCCTCATACTTGACCCACTGCTCTTGTGCAACCTTCAACTTTTTGGTATTTCTTTCTTCATCCTTCCCACACTCACATTTACCAAAACACCCTCCCTTGACCTCATGTATCCCTCTCATTTATCCTTATTCCTCCCTACAATTCCTTCTTTAATTGGTCAACTATTAACCCTTCAGGTCTCAAATGAGATGTTGCTTTAGGGAAGCCATTAGGGCCCTCCCCAAATAAGTACCTTTCCACTGTACCTCTAACTCACTCTTTACCAACCACCTCCCTGCATTTCAAGCTCTTTCATATAGTAATTTACTGGTTTACCATCAGCTTCCTTCACTAGGCTGCTCTCTAGAAGAGCATGCTGTGTTCATCGCACTTAGCGGTCTTGGTATTGGCACGCAGATCTCTGGAGTGCTTCTTCCACGTTGGCGGACAGCAACAGCTTCTTCAACTACCAGTGACATGGTTGAGGCTTTCGATATGCCAGGAATTGCTCGAATCTCATGACATGAATCTTGCCAATAATTCTATGAGTAGGTACTATTATCATCCCCATTTTATAGATGGGGAAACAGAATCTCAAAGGCGTTAAGGAACTTGTTTTGTTTGTTTGTTTGTTTTTCTATGACCGATAAATGTTGCAGCTGAGATTCAAATCCAGGAAGCTGACTCCTGGGTCAGTGAAGCCCTGTTGGGAAAGACTTCACCTTTGGGCATTGACTTATGTTGTCTTTTATTTTTAACAGGAAATGAGTCTTGTATGTGCAGTTGGTCCCTTCTTCGCTAAGCTCCCTCTCCTAAATGTGGCTGTTGGTGGCTTGGTGGCCTACAGGGACCTCCACTCCCCACACGGATGTCCTGGATTCAAAGTGCGTCTTCTCTGGTATAGCACATACACCCTCCCTCCCTATCCCCCTTCCTAATCAAAGGCATCCACAGAACCTATAATAAAAATTAGCCCTGGGATGGGAGAGGAGTATTCTGAGCAATAGCTGTGGCCTGTAGCGAACTGCATTCCTGAAGTTTTGGCTCTCAAAGCTCTGTGGATGGAGAGCCACTGCTTCCGACATGACTCACTCCTGTCTGAACCAGAGTGGCTGTGACAGAACATGACAAAATGAAACATTCCATTAAAAAAAAAAATTCTAAGAAGTTAAATAACCACAACCAAAGGGAGGGTGTGGAAAGAAAATAAAAACCAAAAAACAACTACAAGTGGAAAGAGAATGCTGAGTTCATTCCTGGAGGACAAACGGAATATCTTCATCTTAAAATACTGGAACCAAAATGTGGCCAACTTTCTTCAGTCTTTGAGAGGATCTTTAGATTAGTGTCTGTCAAGTGCTTGGC